AAATTAAATAAAAAATAGCTTCGAACCTTGAGCAATTTGTCTACTAGCAAGAAATTGCATGGCATTACGTCTTCAAGTATATTCCATCAAACCTCTAGCAATTAATTTAATGTCGACCAGACAAATGGTTGCACGAACATGGTTACATGTGAACGGCAAAAGGGTGTCTACGCATTTCCTCATGTAGAAAAGCGCCTAAATTCAGCGGTTGCTCACCCAACCAGCACCCACCCAACCATCAATTTGTCTTACAGCGGAAACGCTCCAGCCATGATGACAGAAGCCAGGCAAAATGATGGCGACAAGAATCCTGATTTATTATTGCAAAGGCAACGTTGACCTTCCACAATGTCAGGCCTCCCTTCGAGCACTGCTTTGTTTCCTAGCATAGAACATGGCGATTTGCGTGTGAACTTGAAGACGTTGGTGGCACGCAGATGGCTTTCGGAGAGAGAATTGCTATATTAATTGAGTTGGTTTCTTTTTAGGGCGGCCTGATGTTGATTAGGCCACTAATTACTGTGTATTGTAGCTATGTTTTGTACTCTAATAGAGAGGAGCTGATTTGTTAATTTCCTTCCGTGTTCTATGGGTTAGCTGCTGGAACAGGCAAATGATTGGCCATCTCCCCCATTGAGATCCATATTTTATGTTCTTAAGTGCACTTGAGTAGACGCTACAAGATGCTGCATCTACTTTGTTAGGTGAATACTGAGTAGATATCACTTGATCGTCACATCGTTTTTTATTTTTATTTTTTAACTTATATGAATATAGTTAGGTATTATAAAATAATATATAATTTACATGTGAAAACAGGTTTTAACTGGGTTGCATTTACACCCGTTAGGTCGACGATATTATGTTAGGTTGGCTCCTACTTGAGTTAATTTAAAACCTGAGTCAGGAAGGGGCCGAGTCAAGGGTATCTATGTTCACTTGCTAGGTTGGGCTAGGTTTGGTACACTGTGAAAATGTTTTCTGTTGTAATAACACTGATGTATTATTTTTATGTTTTTTAATTAATTTATGTTAGAATTATCAGAATTTATCTAAAAAGAAAATTCTCTATCAAAAATTATGAAATAAAAAATAGAGCTCTTTGGTGAGATAAATCAATTTTAACTTAAGGGATGCCTCTCTTTTTCTTACTTAAAATCATTAAATTTTTAGTTTTATTATTTTGAGTGCTTTTAATTAGAATATATACTAAAATTGATTAGTGTTTTAATGTTGTCGAAGTGAAACGTTGAGCTTTTTTTTTTTATGCCTTTGAATAATGAATTTTTTTGTTTGATTTAGTTTATTAATATTAAATTTTTTTATTTAGTTATTAAACTTTCATAACACAAATTCTAGATTTGATTGGTTCAACGGTTTTAACGAGTTAACCCATAATTTTTTTCTTTTTTAATTAATTTTTTTCATTTAATTTAGTTTGTTAATATTAATTTTTTTTTCTATTTAATTATCATACTTTCATAATATGTATCCCAGACTTGACTGGTTAACTTGGTTTGACGGGTTAACCTAGTTAATTTTAGGTTAACCCACCATTTTTTTTTAGTTATCAAACTTTCATGACGCGAATTCTAAATTTGACGGGTTGATCTGGTTTGAAAGGTTAACCCAGTTAATTCAATTTTTTCTTTTTCTTCATTGGTTTTTTTCTTCATATTAGTTTTTTTCTTTGTTTTTTTAATTAATCTATTTAATTATCACATTCTTATAACATGAATTTGCAACAAAACCCAAATCCAAGGCTCTTGGATATGGTGTTACAGCCAGACTCACTTAAACTTGAGTCATATGAGTTTAATATTATTATTAATATTATAAATATTATTATTGGGTAAAGCGTTGCAGCTAGACCCAAGACTTTTGGGTATATCTTTGTATAAAGACCTAACACTCTTAGATCTTAGCTTTTTTTGATTTTTTTATGAAATAAAAAAATTAACTTATGATGTATGCCTTTGTTTTTTTTAAGCCTTTTATTAGTTATTAGACTTTCATGACACGGATCTTAGGTTTGACAGAGTATCCTAGTTGATTCAGATTTTTTTTCTTCATTAATTTTTTTCTTCCTGTATGTTTTTTTCTCTTTGCTTTTTTTCTTTTTAATTAATTTTTTTTTTAAATTTAGTTCATTAATATTAATTTTTTTATTTAGGTCATATTTATTTCCCGGAAAGTAGTTTCCAATATACTATTTTCTAAACTTTTATGTGTTTGTTTGCCATTAGAAAAGTTGGTCAACAGAAAACACTTTCCAGTCAACGAAAAATATTTTCTGATCAATGGAAAATACTTTTTGGTCAACAAAAAATACTTTCTAGTCAAAGAAAAATTTGGCTTGGTTTTTAAGAAAGTGTTTTCCTTTTTGGATATAAGAAAAATTTGGCTTGATTTTTAAGAAAGTGTTTTCCTTTTTGGATGTATTTGTTTTCCAGAAAGTGGTTTCTGAAAAATCACTTTTCAAACTTTATTCTATTTGTTTGCTGTTAGGACAGTTGGTTAACAGAAAACACAAATTATATTTTTTTTCAATTTCATTCTCATTCAACTATTTAGTTTGTAAGATTTGTTTCTTATTATTTTAATAACTTGAGAAAAATAAAATATTAATAAGTTATTTTTCAGCTCATTTTCCATGACATAACCAAATACTAGAAACTGTTTTCTAACTTATTTTTCATTATACTATCAAACATCAAAAAGTAATTCACTTTTCTATAATTCACTTTTCAAAAAGAAATTACTCTTTAGCAAAAGAACATGGTTAATTATCATACTTTCATGACACGAATCTTATGTTTAATGGGTTAACTTGATTTGACAGATTAACCCAGTTGATTCAGATTATTTTTCTTTTTTCTCATTATTTTTTTCTTCTGATTTAATTTTTTAATATTGTATGCAGTCCATAGTAAATAGGATAATGCCTTCAGTTTTTTTTTTCTTTTTATGCCTTTTTTAAAAAAATATTTTTTTATTTAATTTTCAGACTTTCATGACATGGATCTCAGATTTAATCAGTTAACTCAGTTAATTTAGATTTTTTTTCTTTTCTTCATTAGTTTTTTCTTCTTATAAGTGTTTTTTTATTTTTAATTAATATTTTTTATTTAATTTAGTTCATCAATATTAATTTTTTTCTATTTAGTTATCGGTTGATGCCTTTAGTTTTTTTTTCCCTAGCTTTTTTGCCGTTTTTATGCCTTTGACTGTGAACTGCATAATGCAGTCCAGAGTGAAAGACTGATGCTTTTTTTTTAATTAATTTTTTTATTTAATTTAGTTTATTAATGTTTATTTTTTATTTAGTTATCAAACTTTCATGACATGGATCCCTGGTTTAACAGGTTAACCCAGTTGATTCGGGGTTAACCCATTATTTTTTTCTATTTAATTATCAAACTTTCAAGATACAGATCCAAGGTTTGATGAGTTTATTTGATTTGAAGGGTTAATCCGATTAATTCATATTTTTTTTTCTTAAGTAGTTTTTTCCTTCCTATTGATTTTTTTCTTTGTTTTTTTTAATTAATTAATTTATTTATTATATTTTTATGGCATTACCTTGTAGTCACATCCACATTCAAGACTACTGGGTCTGATATTACAGACAGATCCACTTAAATTTAGATTATATAAATTTAATATTATTATTAATATTATAAATATTACTTTTAGATCAGATATTACATTCAAATTCAAGACTTTTGAGAATAGTTTTATAAAAAAAAATGTAACACTTTTAAATTTTAATTTTTTTAATATTTTTTATGTAAAAAAATTAACTCATCTTTTAAATATTTTTTATATAAAAAAATTAACTCGTAGTATAACACAGTTCATGCAAGTAGTTATTATTAAAAATAGAACATGGAACAAAATAATTGTATTTCTTGGTAGGGAAAAAAATCAGAAAACGAGGAATTATATTAGCAAAACAATTTGCTTCAATGGAATCTGTGATACCTCGTTCTTTCTCTGTAAATACTCTCACTTTCCTTAGTTAAGAACCTTTTGGCTCATTTGGCAACTTTATAGTAAAAACAGATTTGAGAGCTTTTCTATTTTACTAGCATTTATGTTCAGGAGGCATGTTGCTTGCTTACTAAAAACATGTAATACAGGCTTTTTAATGAGACACGTAACGCCATGCCACGTATCTCTTAAACAAACACAATTTTACAATTATAATTATAGTTATAATATCATATATGTGCTCACAGCAGGCACCTCTGGCTGATGCTTTGGCTCGTGGTAGTTGCAGCTACAAAGGACCGTGAAACGCATCTCGCGTGATCCAACAACACGAGTTCTTTTGGAATCCTTGGTATCTTATCGTTGGCGATTTAGGTAACCTACTTTTCAATTTGTTTATATTTTTGAGTTATTTCAGAGTTTCTACGTGAAATATCATAACAATATTTAATAAGTATTTATATAAAATTAGGATGATAGTAAAATAACAATGATGTATCATGATAATAAAGCGGTGGTTGTTGTTGTTATTATTAAAATTATCGGATAATTTTGTAAATAAAGTATTATTTATAAAATATTTTATAAAAATAAACATATTAAATTAAATTTATTATACATTAAAAGATCTATATTACTAACAAGATAACAATTAATATCGATAGATATTTTTTTTTTAAATAATTAATATTTAGGATTGAGAATAAATATCTAAAATTCGAGAATATAGATATTGTAAAATTTAACTTGAAATATATATATTAATAATATGTACATGTAAAATATTTATAATTTAATTATTAAATATAATATATATTAACATTGAGGTAATGAATAACTTAAATATATGTATAATACCTATAAATTTGACATTTAATACAAGATGTAAATATTAGTTTTGAATATAACTATAAATAAGATGGATATAATAGAAATCCAGCACGTGAACACCCTAGCATGCTAAAGTTCAAGAAATTGGGATGGAAATGGAACATCGATTAATCTATAGAGGTGAAAATGAAATTTACCCAAAAACTTGACCAAACGCTCTGACTAATTTCCAACTCCTCCATCGACCTTCACCTTCGAAGATAACGACCTGAGGTCAATCAGTCACAGATTCTTCTAGAAATCAGGACATATTGCATTTCGATCAGTGCAATTCAGTTCATTTACCACTGTAAGTTCTGCTAGGGTTTAGTCAGTCTGCTTGTTATTCCATTGCTCAGCTTCGAGTCTTCGAAGTCCGGGATCAGACATGGCTGCGGAGGACGGTACGGCGCAAGAATATGTGCCACAGAAGAAGAATAAAGAGCCTACCGAGACCGAGAAGAGGTCAATATATGCCTTCACTTTTTTAATGCTTAATCAATAGCTAATGAATTAGGTGAAGACTTGTTTTGTTCTGTTTTGATTTTGTTAATTTTGTTACTCAGGAGAAAGAAAATTGTGCCTGGAAGTTTAATGAAAGCTGAAATTAGACCAGGTGGAGGTGATGCGAGACCATCTGATGGTGATCAGGTTACTTTCTTTCCTTCCTGTTTTAATCATGCTTCGTGTTTGTGTGTAATAGTGTAGTGCGTTGGTTGGTTTAGTTGCTGAATTTCAGTTACTAGGTTGTTTTTTCTTATAAGCATTTTGCAGGTCATATATCATTGCACTGTTAGGACCTTAGCTGGAGTTGTTGTTGAGTCTACAAGATCAGAATATGGAGGTGAGGTTATGGATTGAGTGATATATGTGTTGAAGTTCTGGAGGAGTTTTAATTGTCTTCATTTTTATTTAATAGAATGACTAAATTTGACAATTAGGCCTCAAGTAAATGCCTTGAGTCATCTAGTCATCGTATTAAAGTGAATGTTTTGCTTGACTCGCAGGCAAGGGCACTCCAATACGACAGGTTTTGGGAAAAAGCAAGATGTTATTAGGATTACTTGAAGGGCTTCCAACAATGTTGAGGGGTGAAGTTGCAATGGTATTGAGCTTCCTCATTTTCCATACAACATTGTGTGTGCGTGCGTGCACTCGTTTCATCATGCACATTTGTTTTTTCCCCTTGCAAGCACATGTTTGATGAAAGAAAGAAGAAAAAAGAAAAATGAGAAGAAAAAAGAATTACATGCACAACAAGTAAAATGAAGTGGGCATCCTCTATCAATATATGAGAGACCATTTATTTAATTGTTTAATTTCATTCAGTTTGTTTAATCTATTTAATTTTCACTTTTACCTATAAAAGCATGGGATAGAGGGTGTTGAAAAAGATAATCCTATCATTTAACTATGCTGAATTTTCATGTTTTCTTTCTTCAAACCTCCTGTTTCAGTTCAAAATGAAACCTCAAATGCATTATTCTGAGGAGGACTGTCCAGTTTCACCTCCAAGTAGCTTTCCAAGGGATGATGAACTTCATTTTGAGATTGAGATGATAGACTTTTCGAAAGTCAAGGCAAGGCTTTTATTCTAAATGCTATCATTTTATTTTGTAACTTTTTGGCAATGCTGAATATTTTTTTCTCATGATTATTTTTCCGTTATATTATTTCTATATGATATTTCATGATGCCTTGTGTTACTGTTAATTGAAATGCAATCCAAGATCCTTGGAGGTTTGTGATTCTTACACTTAAGATTTAATGCATTTATACACCAATATATCTTAAAGTTAACAATGGTTGATTATAGATTCTGAAAGAAGGGAGAGCACACTAAAATATCTTCTCTACAACCTGTTCTAGTTTTTTTTTTTTTTTTCTTGATTATAGATTCTGAAAGAAGGGAGAGCCCACTAAAATATCTTCTCTACAACCTTTTCTAGTTTTTTTTTTTTTTACCTTTCATTTTCTGAAAATGTTTTGAAGTTTAAGTTAAAAGGAACAAGACTTGTTAAATCTTATCTCATTTGATCTATCCTTAATTCTAATCTTGAATTGTGTTTGTGCTGATTACCAGGTTGTCAGTGATGATTTAGGAGTCATAAAGAAGGTACTGAAAATATACTTAACTGTTGCACGAGATACATGTGATGGATACCATGAGTGATATATGGGGAAGTTTATAATTGTGCTATGTGCATCGATTGAAGTAGTTTTAGATAATTAAAATTTTAATTAATTCATTTTGATAAATTAATATGTATCATGCTAACTTTTTGCGAATATGAATCATGGTTTGGGTCCTTATCTTTGGTTAGAGGGAATATTGTGAAGTCATGGTACTGTCATTTGCTTTCATATTGAAAAGTCTTAGTGCATAGGATTAAATTCATAGGAGATTGCAAAGATACATTTGTTATATTTATGAGAGCACCATGTGAATATTAAATATTGAATTTGGTCAAGTAGTTTCCCTTTATAGTATAATGAGAATAGTTGTAAATGTCCATCACTCCCTACACCTTGACAAACCCCACGAATGTAGAAGTGAATAATTTTGATATGCTATATAGTGATGCCAAACAACTATTAAAAACTGTTGTCCTTATAGAGAAGGAAAACATAGGAGGTGGGAAGCAATGATATGGCATTGAAATAATTGGGGGACTCAGATGCATGTAACACTAAGAAGATGCTAATGAGGTGGACATTTGTTAAATGGAGTAATGTGTCTTTTACAGTCAGTATTTATCTGTCCTATTTTGTTTTCCGATTTAAAATTTATTTCATAGTTAATTGACAACTTACATGGATAGGTAATAGATGAAGGGCAGGGTTGGGAGTCGCCAAGAGAACCATATGAAGTAAAAGCTTGGTAGAAACTTGTCCAAAAATCCCCTTTCTTATTCTTTTGGATTTTTGTTCATATGAAGTCCTTACAAGAAATGTGATATATTTCCAGGATTTCTGCCAAGACAGGAGATGACAAAGTAATTCTATCCCCCAAACAAGGAGAACCTTATTTCTTTACTATTGGAAAATCTGAGGTTGGTGATGCGTTCTGCTCCACTTTAATATACTATTTTTTTCTTTGATATTCTTGGTTTTTCATGTCTAATAAAATACTTAGTATTTTCATCTTCAGTGGCAATATGTTTCATCAGTTTCACATCTTTCTGCCCCAGTTCTTATTCCCTAGCACATCATGCTGATTTCTTGAGCTCAATAATCTAAACTATTGAAAGAAGAGAAGTTATTTGCATTTTCTTAAAATATTTTGCATTAGGTACCTAAAGGTATTTATGATTATTTCTGACTATATTAGGTACCTAAAGGTCTTGAGATGGGAATGGGAACTATGACACGAGAAGAGAAGGCTGTAATATATGTTACCAATCAGTACTTGACTGAATCTCCGCTCATGTCCGTGGCAGGTGTTGAGGAAGTTCAGTTCGAAGTAGAGCTTATCCATTTCACGCAGGTCAGAAAATTTCTTATTGATGGAGAGCAAAGCATTTCTTTGAGAATCATTGTTTTGATTATTTGTAACTTTTGGTTGTTATGTTTTTATTTTGTAGGATTTAGTGTATTTCCTACTAAAGTACTAGTGATTAGGAATTTACTGTATTTTCTACGTAGTAGTTCAATTAATGTTTACTGTTTAGGAATTCCTGTTGCCCATGATATTTTTTGTTTTTAGTGCCCATACTGGACCCGACATTATTTATCTAGAGAGAGCCTTTTTGATTAATAACTTTTGAGCCTTGCAGTATTTCTTTGCTTGTTCTCCCTTTTCTATTTTTCTCTTTCAGTTGCTTTCTTATCCAGCATCTTTTCCTCGTTGCAAATCATAATTGATAGTCCATTTGTATGCTAACTTTTCTGCTGCCATCTTAAATGTTACTTTATGATTGCACAAATCCTTATAATATTAGAAGAGAGGACACCGAGTTTAAGGTGGGTTAACATTTTCCAAACCCACATAACCGAGATAATACTCGCATTTGTGCCATTATCCTTTAAAAGAAAATCTCCAGGAAACTGCCCACAAACAATCGCAAAATTTTATCACACCCATTCCTTTCATGAAAGTACAAATGCTCACCATGTAACGTCTGTAGTTTCCTCTCTGTCACAAGAGAAATTCTTTTTTGCACAAAAGCAACCTAGTTCTATGTTCTATTTGGAGAGATTAACTGTAATTCTTGTTGCATATGGAACATGCAATTGAAAGCCTTTCATAAAACATGGAAAACTCTGAAATAGGAAATCCTAATCCAAAGAGCAATCTGAGCAATAAATTTACTCTTTAAAAATATAGGTTTGTTTATTGATGAGGGATTTTTTGATGATTGCACCAGATAATTTAGTTAGCTAAAATTCCAATTCATGTGAAATATGCTGTGTCATCACTTTGTTTATATGGGGGCTAGTCCCAGGGATTGATTTTCTTCCTTTAATTATCATATATATGCTGCACTATATATCTTATATCATGTTCAATTTTCTTGTGTACATGCTTTCATTTTACTCAGGTTTGAATATGGTCATGAGATGAGCTGCAATATGTGTTTAGTTTGCCCTTTCCTGTATGGTTAGTTGGTTACTTTATAGGGGGAGCCTTGATGGTACTAGAGGAGGGGCTTTGTTGCTGTATATATGTGTTGATTAGCTTATCCTCATTCAGATTTGTCCACAATTTAAGTGATTAATGATGAATGGATATATGCACACACTTGAAATATACGTTGAAGCTTTTAATTTGTTCCTGAGGTAAACTGTTAGATAGGCATTGGCCTTTTCAAGTCAGGATTGTATATTATTATGCTGTGGTTTTTATTCTTTTTTTCTTTTCGTCAAAAACTGCATTTTCTTCCTTGATGAAGTTCCTGGTGGTGCTGTTTAACTCTCTTAACTTAATGTTGACAGGTAAGGGACATGCTTGGAGATGGACGCTTGATAAAGCGTCGGCTTCGTGATGGAAAAGGTGTGGATTCAGAGTTTATTTAAAAAATGCTATTGATTTGTTGGTGCATGCATCCGTATTTATGTGTTGCTTGATTCTATTATTTTCTCTTCTCCAATTTTCTGATATCTGGACTGTATGAAAAATACATGGATGCTGTGAGAGAATCATGTAATTAGATTCTATATCTGAGAAATCATTTTGGAAACTTCTAAACCACTTTTTTCAGGGTATAATTGTGTAGTTCCTTATTTTATTAAATTTTCAATATGTAAAAGGGGAACACTTTAAAGCTGTTTTCTATCTTTGTTTGCTATACAGGGTCTCTATTAATGTGCTCTCCCTTGATGTGCATGCATGCCTTTTACTGGTATTCTGGTGCATCTTGTCGGTGTTCTAAAATCTTTCTCAATAATTCCATTACGAGTGCAATTTTCATTCTATCCTGCAGAATAAAAGTGTCAAAATTTGCACCAACAGTTACTGGACAGTGTCTGGGTTCTGATGATTCTCTCTCTCTTGTTGTTTTTTCTGTTCTCTTTTAGGGTTAGGTTAATTACAGTTGACTCCTCTACTGTGGTGTTTGATTAATGAAGTTATTCTAATAATATGATTAACGGAGTCCCTCTACTATGCATTCCATTAAAATTTACGACCCTCAATCCCTTACACCATTAAGAATAATGTGCTGTCATTCTATTTGTGTTGCATCTGTTCTCATTATGCTGCAATAGAAAGAAGTTGGTTCCTGGACAAGGTCCTATCCTAGGGTTAGAGCTGGCTAGACCCCTAACTGACCTCATAATGATTTAGAGAGCTCGGAATCAGGCGTTCGGGGCAAGCATGGGCCAAAAGAGAGAGTCCAATCTGACCCTAAGCAGATGCTTTTGATGTGTCATGCTGTAGCAGAAAAAAGCTTAAAAAATGAAATCTACATTTCTTAATTTTCTTTATATTTAAAATGTTTTTTTTAAAATGAAAATTAATAAAACCTTAAAACCTCATCACCCCTATTGAGACAAAATTCTGTAGAATTTAAACTAAATAATTCTTGACCAAAATTAAAAAGAGAGATTTCCTGCATATAATTGAAGATCTTGATTTTGTGCATGTAGAAAGGCTTGTTGGATTTGTGCATTCTTGGATTGTGAAATGTTGGCTGTTTATGGCGTTGAATATTACAAAGAGGGAGATCAATGGTGGTGGAGACCACCACCTTCTTTTTCTCAAGAGATTTTTTTGGGGAACTTCAATGATAAATAGAAACACATTTTTAGGTTACAAAAATCTCAATGGTACATATATTCCAACATCAGTGAATCTAACTTCTAATGAAAGCCAGATTTTCCTCACTTGCGTACACTAAACTCAGTGGCATTGAGATCATAATTTTCTACTTAAAATGATTATGAAAAAATTATGTGTACCACTCAATTTTAAATCCGTATTGATTTTATCTCTTATTTGACCCAAGTACTCCTCTCCACAACTAGATTGGGATAAATATATAAAAATAGCATGAAGAAAGTGTTGGTGGCTAAATGTAGATCTGATAGTCTTTGTTTTCCCAACAGTTTTGCTTTTGAAAAGGAAAACTGAAGAAATTAAAAATACTCAAATCCTCAAGCGTTTTTAGTGATTTGGAGAAATAAATAAAGTTGTAATGGTTATACAAGAGAAGCCTAGTGCTTTTTCAGTGAATTGTCCCTAAAATGGCCTTACTTTTCATGAGGATTATCATCTCTTGTTTTTGTTTCTTTAGGGGGTTTTGTATTATCTCATGTTTCTTGGTAGATTTATAAATAAGAAAGAAAAAGGAAAAATGCAAATGAAGAGAAGGGGATACAGAAAGGAAGGGGGCAGTGTTGTCTAGCTTGTGTGATTGCTAGAAAAGTGGCAGAGTTTTTTTTTTTAATTTTTAAATGTAGTCATGCTTCCTTTTTCTTTTTCTTTTTTTTGAAAAAGAAGATGTCAAATTTGGTAAATCTGGATAGGTTTCAAATATCTAAAGGCTCAAGTAGTACTTGCTAACGGCGTCTTGGATGGAGGATTCTAATTTAAATGGAAAACATTGTAGAGGGACTTAATTTATCAGATTAATAGTAGAGGGACTCAATTTATCAAATCACCATAATATAGGGATGACGCAGGTAATTAACCCTTTTAAGGGTCAAGGAGACCTTCATGCAAGCTCTACCTGGATTTCCATGGACAAAGCAATGGATTTTGGTTGCAATCAGTTCAGATTGATTGAAACTATGTTATGTTTGAAAAACTTAATTGTAAAGTCCAACCCTTTAAGCTTTGGGTTATTTGGAAAGCATAAAGGATAGGATGCAATTTTCCTTTTTGTTTATTTAATCAGGAACATCAAAGATTATACTTGAAATTAAGATGATGATTCTTGTTATTTGCTTGTAAAGCGCAATGAAATCCAGAAATGCAGTATGTCTCCACTTGTTTTTGAAGCTCCATATAATTAGGGCACTTTCACCTCTTTCATTCCAACTCCCTTTTTCTTATTTAGTCCTAGCTTCTTTTGCAAGTGTCTATCCATTTATTTAACTGCTTTCGGTTTGCAATTATCAAAATCATGCATGCTAAAATATAGATTTCTAATTGCTCTGAAAATTTAGGTGAGTTTCCTATGGACTGCCCACTTCAGGACAGTCTACTACGCGTTCATTACAAGGGTATGCTGCTTAATGAAGAAAAGACAGTCTTCATTGATACAAGAATTGATAATGATGGTCAGCCTTTGGAGTTCAGCTCTGGAGAAGGGCTTGTGAGTTCTCTTGTGTAAAGGATGAAATAAGTTTTTATGAATTGGTTGTTTAGGGGAATAACAAATGACTGAATTTTGTTTGTAGGTGCCTGAAGGTTTTGAAATGTGCGTGCGCTTAATGCTTCCTGGAGAGGTAGCTCTTGTTACTTGCCCTCCTGACTACGCATATGACAAGTTTACCAGGTTACTTTTTGAGATCTATTGTGCCGCAAATACCGCATAAATCACAGGCACTTTTTGTATTGCTATCGACATCATCATTACTTTAACTACTTTCTGACCAAGTTTTCCCTTCCTATATAATTAGACCTGCAAATGTTCCTGAAGGTGCTCATATTGAATGGGAAATTGAGCTTCTTGGTTTTGAGATGCCGAAGGTAACTGAATGTTTTCTCGTAGAAGTTTAGTGGAAATGCTGCTTGATGAACTCTTTTAAACACCTATAGTTAGTGTTGTGTCTTTATTAACTTTGCTAATTACTTTGTCTATGGCTTGCCACTGCAGTCTGCTTTTGGCTCTATAGTGTTTTCTGTATTCGAAATTGATTGAGGTGAACTTGGAATCACATAGGAAACTACCATGAATGTATTTGTGTCAGTTGATTGAGCTTCAAGTCACTGAAGATACTTATTTAAAATTCATGTTTGAGGATTATGAATTTCTCTCCTATTTATATCATGGATCCTTTTTTCAGGATTGGACTGGTTTGGACTTTCAGGGTGTAATGGATGAAGCAGAGAAGATCAGAACCACAGTATGTGTACTTAGTTCATGTTTGTTAATTGTGCTGACTTTACTGGCAATTTGGATATGTTCCAGTTATAGCAATTTGTTTCAATGATATGAATTGGTTGTCTGGGGTGTAAATTTGTGTATTATGATCTGGAAACTGTGATGATCTCCTTGATCTTCAGGGAAACAGGCTTTTCAAAGAAGGAAAGTTTGAGCTTGCTAAGGCAAAATATGAGAAGGTAATGTGCTCTCTCCTAACTACATTCATCTCACATCGTGAGCATTAACATTGCCATTCAAATTCTTGTGTTCCCTTCTTTTATTACTCTGGATTTATTTCCACCACACTGCATGTAGCCATTTGCTGGCATTGTCATGTTATAATCAGTATTTTGAAATTCAGTATCTATATGTTTAGGCTAGCAAGCAATCACATTTCCCAGTTGGTGACGTACATGAAATCAAGTTTGTTTTTCAATTGGTCATCAAACTGAATTATATATTTAGATATTGAATGTGTTCTTATCTGGAAAATTGTTAATTATGAAAGTGCCAGGACCTGCAATTTAGTTTTGCTAAAATTATCTTTCCTAGTCGTCAAAATTTGCTTCTCAAGATAAAAGTCTTTTATTCTGATTTATTCAAAGGTTTTGTGCTCATAAATGTCTGAGTTGCATTTGTGAACCTTTCAAGTCCTCGTATAACATCATGAAAAACTGTTCAACAGGTTCTTCGAGAATTTAATCATGTTAATCCACAAGATGACGAGGAAGGGAAAGTTTTCCTGAATACAAGAGTAAGCTTTTTACCCCTTCAGTGTAGGAAAAGAATCACTATCAAATATATTTTTCCATCTCTCACTTGATGCTTTCATTTTCTTTCTTGTATGTTTGAAGAATTTGTTAAATCTAAATGTCGCTGCATGCCACCTCAAATTAGGGGAATGCAGAAAGTCCATTGAGACATGCAATAAGGTATGTGTTTAATTCAAATAGTTTCTGTTTTCTTACATGGAAATCTTGTCTAGCAAGAGCCTCTACTAGAGTGTAAGGAGTAAAATGCTGTGAAAAAGATGTCATTGATGTTCCTGCTTTAGTTTATTGGATTTGGGTGAGAAGACTGATTATGTTGGGCATCGATTATATATTATTAATTGAAATCCGTTACTGGGGTTCAAGGGGGGCTTTGTAAGTCTTTCTGATGAGGAATTTCATTTGAAGCACAACTGGCAATACACTAGGTATCCAGCTTTTGTATAACATGATAGGGTCCAAACTCCTTGTGGCAGCACACTTTGTGCAGGAAGCTGCTGGTCAATTCCTAGCCCCACATTAATTGCTTACGACTTGTTTTGGGGTTGAGCATTGAGGTGGCTATCAGCTAGCCGTAAGAGAGCATGCCATAGGATGATATATGATGTTCTTGTCTCATATTATCCTGCATAGGTTCCTAGGACGAGCACTTTGAAAAAATACAGATGCCAATGAGGCAATTGTGCAGAAAAGTTCCCCTATCTGGAAAGTGGGAAACCAAAAAAACATAGCTTGCTTTTCAATGGATGCGTAGTAGTTAACTTATCTTGAAGTCCATTGCCATCCTTCAGAGTCTGGATGTTGATGTTCATTGCTGATAAATCCTGCAGGTTCTGGAAGCAAATCCTGCACACGTCAAGGCCCTCTATCGCCGTGGAATGGCCTACATGGAAGTTGGAGATTTTGAGGAAGCAAGAAGTGATTTTGAAATGGTAGCACCTGTAGTTCTTCTTTAATGCAAACTTCTAATTCTTTGACATCCATCGTCTGAATATGCTTCTGGATGTCAGATGTTGAAAGTCGACAAATCATCTGAACCTGATGCAACAGCAGCTCTTAAAAAACTGAAGCAGAAGCAGCAGGTGGGTTAATGTGCAACCAAATTCTATTCGCAATTTGAGATGGACATACACAATTCATGTCTTTCTGCTTGTCCATTTGATGAGCAGGATGTCGAGAAGAAGGCACGGAGACAATTTAAAGGACTATTTGACAAGAAGCCAGGGGAAATTGCAGATGCTGGAACTGACGACAGAGGAGAAGAGCAGAGTACAGGTGAAAATCAGAAGAATGGTGACCAGGAGGATTCAAATGGGGCTGACACAGAGGATGGTGAAGATGTGGCCGATGCACCTAGAGAAGGATTGTTCTCCCTCCTGTGGCCAACTGGTAGAAGATTGTTTTCAGCTCTCGGGCTTCAAAGATGTACGATATTGTGACAAAGCTGTAGGGATGGCCGAATCAGCATTATTTTTGTCACAGGCTGGAAAAAATCTGACTTTGAAAGTAAAAAACACATCAAAGAAGGTTCATATACCACTATCATTGTAGCTTCACAAAGAAATTCATATTTTGGGTTACCGTTTATGATGATATAAATCAATGTTGAGACAGACAAAAACATACTAATGGACATAAGATCCAATGTTGTTAATAGCGTTCCTGTCGTGTCCGGTCGCGTTCCATTTTTTGTAAAATTTCAAAATTTTGAAAAATACAATTTTGCATTGCTTTTTCAAACGCAATTTTGCATCTAATGCCCTTGTATAATTTCGTTCTGCTTTGAAGTCGGGTCATCTTTTAAAAAAAAACTATGGGTTAAAATTTTCTTATTTTCTCCGCCTCTTTTTCTTTAGTTTCTCTAACAATTTTTGGCATTATGTTGCAGCGCTAAATGGAGGATCAAAAGGTAAAGATTGAAGTCTAGATTGTATTCAAATAAGATTTTCAATTTCGAGTTCTATAGCAAGCAGCACAAACTTTCCAAGTGGGGTTTCATGGGTTCTGTTCAAAACCAATAGAGAATGGCTTTTCTTCTAAAAAAAATTATCGTTTTCTTTATCTTTGAAGAATCTACCTTGGTCTTGTTTTACAGCTTAATATTGTTGAGTTTTGAAGTTCAACCAATAGAACACGTTCATTTATTACAAATATAAGAGAAAGTGGTTACAAAAGAAATTCAAGTCCAATTGTCAGTTATTTTTTGAAATTCTGACAAAAATTTATATTCTTATATAAATATCTACTTTTTTTTCCTTTTCCTGTTTGATTCGATAAACTTTCTAACTCAAACAAGTTAAGTTGATAAATTAGTACTAGAGTAGAAAACTCCTTCCTTCATGGTGATACTTGTAGGGGGGGAAAGAAAGAAAGAAGAAGCTCCTATGTAGAATGTGGTTTTCAGGGTACATTATGCAACCGGTTCAAAGCTTGGCGGATTTGAGAGTCTATTTAATATTGTGGTAGTAATTATTATTTAAAATTTTTTATTTAAAAATATATTAAAATAATATATAATTTTTATTTTTTTAAAATTAATTTTGAGATAAGTACATTAAAATAATCTAAAAACATAAATAAATAATTTTTAGCAAATTGTTTTTTCCAAAATTTGAGGGAACACGATTTCAACCGCTTTTCCAAACATACTTTGAATCCCAATAGTAAAAATAAAATTTGTAAACTAAGTCACAAACTAAAAATTTAAAATCCACAAAATCCTATACGGTAAAACTATTTTCTTTATGCAAAATATGAGTTTTATATACGTGTTTGGTATTGCAACTAAAACATCATTTACTTAAAATTTAGATTTTCTTTACTTAAAATTATTTTTTAGTATTTTGAATCATTTTGATGTGCAGATATTAAAAATAATTTTTTTAAAAAAATAAAAAAATATTATTTTAATATGATTTTGAGCAAAAAATACTTTGAAATACAATCTTTATCCTATTCCCAAATAAACACTATATATATATATATAGGAGCAATATCAACACATCATCCATAAACATAATTGATAACAATAAACATTAATATATACTAAATTTGGATTTTGCTTATAATTCTTCCCTTTTTGATATTTTTTCACATATTTTTTATTTGATTGTCTCATTGTATGTCATATAATATCTACAATGTGATTTTTCAGTTAGAGTGAACATTTAGTCAACAAAATTGAATAAATATATGATTGATACATGCACAATTGTAGTAAAAAATAAAAAGAAATAATTTTTAAATATGAAAATCATTTTCTTCTTATCTTTATAAAAGAAAAAATAAATTAAATATGATTGAAAAAATAAAAAATTCAATCTACAATACAATTTTTCCTTTCTAATTAAAAATAGAAATAAAAAAGTAATAACTTTGATTGAGAAACCATATCTTAAGTTTTGTTTGGTAACGGGATACATAATACTTTTAAAAAATGCACGACATATAGTAACTTAGTAATATAAAAAATTATTATAGGACTCAATAAGGGCAGGAGCACCCCTAAAGTTTATTTTGATCACTATAATTATATAAATTATTAAATTATTTCCCTTGAAAATTTTATATTATCCCCTCCTAAATTTTCTTATAATAAGAGCTTTTAGTAATAATAAGTGGTTTATCATGTGATATAATATATGGATTTACCTTTTCTTATTTAATTTATATTGAAATTCTTTATAAAAGAGAAATAACATAATTAAATATTTTTTTATTTAGATAATATGCACTAAAATTGATAAAAAAAAATGAACTAGTTAAAATAAAAGCTAAAAGAGATGAGTAATTCACTATACACGCGCTTATAATTTATTATGGATTTGAATAGTAAAATTATCATTTATTTCTCACAAATAAAACCATATAACTTGCTTTTACAGGCAAAATTATCTTTTTTATAAAATTCATTTGTCATTACTAAAAATACCAAAGAAAAATCAATAGCCAAAGAAACAAAAGTGGTCAACCATTTGGGGATTGAACAAGGGAAAATAAAATTTGATTTTCTTTATAAAGTCTTTGTGATGTGTTATACTATGAACAATGACTAAATAATATAAATAATTGCATAAGAAGGAGAAGGGAATGCTTGGTTCCCTGAGGCTAAGTTTTGATAAGGGGGAGAAGGAGTTTTAAGATTTCATATGTTAATGATGAGTAAATTAAATATGTTAGAAAGTTTACTAATAAAGGAAGCATGATAACTTGATAGTAGGGAACTTCTTAGGTCGAATGCATGTGTTACGTGATGTAGAAATGAGTTTATTGGTCATATGTATAGCCTATAACTTTTCTTAAGAGGAGTTATGAAATGTAGAAGAAACATGGAATTCGATGATGTATATGTTTTTTAAAATAGTTCTCAATCATTTTATACAAAAAAGGCAAATTAGCTTAAATGGTACTTGAAAGGTCATATTTAGGAAGGTTACTATGGATATAATATAGAAATAGTTGTTTTAAGATAATAGGGGAAATGGAGATAATTAAAGGTTTATTTAAACCATTGATGAAAATTGGATAGATTTATCACCCTTATTCTAGAGAGGATTCGGGCCTAAAAATAATAACATTTTGAAAAAGTTTCTCAAAGAAGTTATAATCCAGGATGTTAACTTTACAACAAATTTAACCTTATTTAATTTAGAGCTCTAGAACTTTAGATATAGATTAATATTTAAGGAGAGGTTGAGTTGCAACCTCTGCTAGCAGTTTCGACAAGTTGTCAAAACAGGAAATTGAGTCATGTTAGGTGTAGAATCAAGTTTCCTTCCCTTTAAAAAATATGTAGTGCCGTGTCTTGGTGTTCAAAAGAAAATAAGCTATATTTAAAATTGAATTTATGATTTGATAATGAAATATAATCTTAAGGAATGTATTGGGAACACAAATGTAAATGAAACAATTGTAAAAAGGTAGTCAACATTGTCGTTGTTATTATTATTATATGGAAAGTAACTTTAGTAATAAATAATGTGTTATGCTTGCGAATTCAAGAGGGACCATGGGAGGGGCATAACAATAGTAAGGGAGTGCGAGACGAGCTTTTAAAACAGGTAGGTTTTCTATACCTATACCCTTATTAAATATCTGTAATCTTGAAAATCTATTTAATTCTTGGATTGTATACATGTTGATGTTGCCAAAAGAAGAATCAATCCAATGAAATAAATGAGAAATGAAAACATACTTGACTAATTTGTTTGGTTAGGAATAATGAACTATATTAATGAACTTCATTGTTAATTGCTTTTTGAATTTGATTAGCTAGTCTCAAGTATGAGAAGCTTAATAAAGTTTAATAACATCTGCATGACTATTCCAAAGAATAAGAGATACCAAACTTGATTAACTATTTGGGTTAAAAAATAGTTAATGACAAATAGTTAATGATATTGATAGGCGATGTTGATATCGATAATTTCATGAAACTTGATTAGCTATTCCTAATATGAAAGCTAATAATGTCAAGAATCTTTGACATTGGTATTCTTGAAGATATTTCAAAGTGTTATGAAAAATTGATTAACTATTTCAATATATATACCATTTGACGAGTATTAACATATCAGTTTCATGTATCTCTCATACTTCAATTTATATTAGTAACTACTTCTTTTTATAGAGAAAGGAATATATTATTCGTCAGTTTCAACAACTCTAATTAATAATAAATTTTACTAGAATATTAACCATGAACATTTAGAAATAATATTTTAATACAATAAGAATTTCATTTTATAACAATTATATAATTTCCAATGCAAAATATTTTTATTCTATAATTTTATCTTTACCCTATATTCATTAACCAAATATAATTAATTATTAAATATAATAAAAATCTTTATTAATAATAAATACAATTTACATAAATAAAATTATCACTACATGTAACATCATATGTTCACTAAACTAATATACACTAATTGTGTGCCACTTCTACAAGTTTCTTTCTTTCAGAAAGGATTATAATTATCTTCTATGTACTTCAATTCTTCGCAGCAGAGATTTTATGCTTTCACTTTTGTGATTCAGCTTGTTTTAAAAATATAAGCTATATGCAATGATGCATTCGGAAGCAATCCTTGGACGAAAGTGAGCAGGAAATGAGGATGTTAGTACTGGAATTGGGAGGTCCAGAAAAAGAAAAAGAAAAAAGAATGATGCCACGTGCCCACCTTCTAATACTTTGGTTCGAGATCATAGGCTTTTGCTCCTTTACGTCTCGAACCTTCAGTAATATTATCTTAATTACTAGTCGGTTGGATCAAATAGTTTCGTTAGATTGTTGGTTTTAATTTCTACTGGTAATTTGACCTTGTATCTTAATTCTCAGTAATTGCTTGTGATGATTATTGGAATATTTATATAATTAAAGTTGGTAATCTTTTCATCCCAAAAAGAAAGATTGTCGTCTTGTTTTTGGTGTGCACACTGACTTGAAGCAAACACAGACAAGCAGATTAATTTACATGGTTTCCAAGTCGGTTAGAGAAGTGAATAATATAAACCCAAACCTAGCTCTCTGTATCTTCTCTCTCTCACATGTTGCTCAGTTCTCACACTCTTTGATTACTCTCTATTTGTAGGCAAAGATTAGAGTCATTATGAGGCTGGGCAGGGACTAGGAGCTGGACAGTCAAATTGGTGGTTGGAGTGTGGAAGTTGGTG